ACTGCCATAGGAAGGGATAAATAATATTATAACCAAATCAATAGATTTGTGTGAGACGGAATTTTTGATCTCACAATGTAAATATTATTTAGAATTAGTAATTAGTTAATAAGCATATTATTGGAGAATAGAATAGCACAAATTACATTATTTGTACTGCCTCAAGAGGTATAAATACACTTGGTTTTAGACCAAGTTAAATGTAATCTTCATAATAATCAACTAATAACTCCTAACACTCTAATAAATATATAACCTTTACATAAAATAGTTTTTGACCATATTAACTACTAACCTAGTGTGATTGATTCCCAGTTCTTTTAATGATTAATGGTTTGGCCAACCCTTAATTATTAGTTGGGAACTCTTTTAATTATTAAACATATTGCCAAGGGGACACCTTTGGAATATAAATGGATACACCAACTTAGGGGTCTTTTATCTAGACTTCAAGTTGTAAGATAAAAGAGTTATTGGTTGTAATTCAGAGGCTTTAGGAAAACCAGACATGTGCCATAGGTAAGCTATCTAGATTAAGGCAAGTTAATGCTTGATTGTGGTGTGTACTGTATGTTTTCATTTTATGACACATTAGACTGGAATGCTCAGGAATAATTCATTGTGGATATAAAATTGCAGATCCTAAGTGGTGCTCTAAAGCAGATTATGATGAGATTCAGCTTACCTGCAAGCCACATGTTTCAATAGCTCCTATGGGAAACTGGACATTCACAAAATAAATACACACAGGGGTGCCATACACATGTTCATACAATAATAATGAAAAATCTTCTTAAACTGGTACTTCTTTTGTTTAATATCTACTCTTTTGTTTGCCTTTTGTTTCTTATTATTGTTATAAGTATAGGTTCACTCAATTTAGTTTTCAATAATATTAATACAAGGTTTATCCATTTGTTAAGTAGTTTTTTTTCCATTTGCCATCAGTAATAAGATTGTATATCCAAATAATGCTTCGATTCAGCTTGGAATAGATTCAGAAAGTATATATGGAGTTTATGTTATTCACACTTGTTTTAAAGAACTTTTTTCTGGTTTAGAAAATGAAATATTATATAAGCCGTGAGTATTTTTTGTAACTTTTAAACAGTAAAATGTGTTGTTTTGTTACACATTATATACTTGATAATGTTGAAATTTTTCTGGTTAAAGAGGTGAAGCGATTCTATCATCTGTTGAAATGTCACGAAGACGAAGAAAAGCAACTAATCATTATGAGCAAAAGGCTGATGGTGTATTTTTAATGTGTTTAAATAACTGTTTGTTAGAAGTTGGCCATCTTGAGATAAGTGGGGGTATGGTCATCAAGAGCCACCTAAGTCAACATGGGATCATGTTAAAGGGGCTGTTGGTGCAACCACCAAGTGTCACACAAGTTCCGTACTTTAAGTGTTGGTTCATCATTAATCTCCTGCATCAATTTTAACAAATTTTGACTTATGTGACTTAGAAAATATGAATATATACTTTTTCATATTTTTGAAAATATTCTACTTCATCAGAAGCATTCCTTCTAGCTAAATGAGGTTGATGTGATATACAATGAATTGAGGACATAAAAGGATTGATTTTTTTTAACCTTGTAGCAACACCAGTTTGATTTCCTGTCATATTAGAAGCCACATCACTTCCAAAATGAATTATTTTGTGATGTGATATTTCATTTGAAGTACAAAATGATAGGATTTGATTATAAATATTACCTGCAGTGGTAGTTTCTAGATTAATCATAACCAAATATCTCATATAGGGAATATTATTAACAATATATTTTCCTACAATTGCTAAATATTTACTATCATCAATACTGTTATCTTCATCAATCATTATACTCCAATAAATTGAGGAATTCAATTCTTCAAAAAGGGATTTTTTTATTACAGAGGCTATACTATCCAAAAAATCAATAATGGATTTAAAATTTGTATGGCTTCCATATGTTGATCTAGAAGTAGATGTTTCTTCTAAAGTAGCAGGTTTCAGAGTAGAAGTTTTTTCACTAATTGTTAATTGATTATTATTTTCAAACTGTAATGTCATTAATTTACATAATTCAGGATAAATATGAGAGTAAATTTATTTTGCTTAGATAAAAAATAAACATTTTCATTAATGAAATAATTGCTGTTTGTTTTTTATTTAATTCATTTGAAAGTTGTGATTCTGACATTTTTAAATGAATTAATTGTAATAAAAATTTGTGCTTTTTTAATTTAGATTTTTTATCAGTTTGAAACATAGAGTATCAAAAAACATCTTGTATTTATAGTATTTTATTGGAATTAATTATACCTGAAAACATTAATGATTTATTGTTAATAAATGGGTAATAAATAAAAGTATTTTGTTTATTTAGAATTATAACAGTAAACACCAATGATTTATTTTTGTAAAATAGTAATTTTACATATCACAGGGAAATCAATAAATAAATCGAAAATGATTTATGAAAGTTGCACACAAATAAAATCGATCAAGTATTCAAACCGGTACAAATTCATATTTTTATTCAATCACCAATAAAATAATTGACTCGCAGAAAATATCTCAAACAATGGAGAAATAAATATTCTAGCATTCTAAAATGTAACAAACCTTTAATTCTGAGATTTAATTTAAATGAAGGAATTTAAATGATTGGATCACTTTAGAAAATAATTCTAAAAGAAGGTTCAAGTAATACATTTAATAGAATAAATCAAGGTTTCAAAGAAATCGAGAACTAGATGATAGAACCTTTAACATGTATAAATAATGATGTAATTTTCTTAACTTCATGTAATCATCATAAAATATCATCATAATCATCTTTTAATCATCATAATAAATAACACCGTCCTTGACCTTGACCTTGTTGTCTTCAAATATTATATTTTATATTTGTCTCCATTATTTTTATTATTTTTTATTTCTTTTCTTTTCTTTTAATGAGGTAATATTTAATAAATTTTATTTAGTAGTTTTGGAGATGTACCTGACTTGGTAGCAAAGAGGAAAACGGCTAGAAGGACACCCACCAAAGAAACATGATCAGGATACATAGTGCAAAATCTAAAGAAGATATTGTTTAGTATTTCTTAGTATAAGAAATTGTTTAATGATGGTAAAAGATAGTTTTGAGATTAAAGCATTAATATACATTCGCGGAAATTGTTGTTATAATTTAGTATAAATAAATTGGAAGAAATTGTATTAACATTGTTGGCACATCATCCATCATAAATAAAATCTAGAGATTTGTGTGAGACGCGGATTTCGATCTCGCAGTATTCAAAAAAAAAAATAATAATTTATTAAAAAATCAATAATAAATAAAAGTATTTTGTTTATTTTTGCATTCAAAAAAATAGAATTATAACTGAAATCATCAATGATTTATCATTGATAAAAAAAGGAAAGTATGTATACCTGAAGACATCAGCAATTTATTACTACTAATACTTGGTTGCACGGATTTTTCTGCACAATAAATTATCGGCTGGATTAAATGTAACACTCAATTTCCAACACTGCTTGTTAAGTAGGTAAGCTTTAAGTTGGACAACTCTTGCTTCTCGGGGAATCTGATTTTTGGTTTCTAGCCAGAGTTATGGGTTTAATTTTTATAAGGAACCGTCTATTAAAATATAGTAAAAAATACAACTGATGTAATGATTATCACATGAAGAGCATTCATCATTGCTCTATAGAATTGCTCTATGATTTGTGTATATATTCTCTTTCTATTAATCCTAATGATTGACATTATCAGTCACACCGTCAACATTAATAACATTCGTAAGACCGATATCAACGACACTTTAACAGTATCCATCATTACCATATAATCATCATTATCCACAAGATCATTGCTACCATTATTTTTATTTTGATTGGCGTCTTTTTTAATGGTCGTTTGTTTAAATAAATGAATGATTCAACTGTTCGACTTCTGTGACATTTCCCATTTCTTCATTTAGTTCCTTTGCGCATTGTAATTTCTTTTCGATAATTTAAAAGATGAGCATTTTGGAAAAAGCAGCAGCATAGCATCAACGGCAGTAGCAGAATATAAACCCATAGATGTGTGCAGTAATTAATTATCCTCATGATAGTTTCCATAGTGGCAGTAATTAATTTTAATAGTTGCCGAAATTACATCCAAAATTATTTAAACTCTTTATCTACAATAAATAAACCAATCCGCATGGTTATTTATGTTCATTCATATAAAGAATATCGAAAAGCTGAAATGATTGCCGTAATTATTTTCTTACGGAACATATGTGAAAGCAAAAGAAAAGGTAATCCGAAAATATAGATCAAATTTTTATATGTCGATCTGATCATTGATCATTTAGGAAATAATTAATAATTCATTATTTTTTTTAATGAGTTGTAATAATTTGTGCTTGATTATTGGTGCAAATTTTCATAGTGACTAAAAGTTATTAGCCGCCGAATCCGAAACTATTTCGGATTAAAAAACCTGTATTCAAAAAATGGTTACGATCAACAACTTTTATGGTAACACAAGCTAAGGAGATGAATGAATTTTCATGACGCACAAGAGAACATGGCCAGCCAGACAGACACATTACCAAATTTTGAATTTGTTATATAACTTTAAAAGTTTATAGATGACGTGCATCATAGCTATTGTTATTGCGTTGCGAAAGGACTAAAAAGAAAAGATTGATAAATTTCCTATTGTAATTATGATTCGCTTCTCATATAAGATATCTTGTAATAATCATACTGAAAATCATATGATAAACATTAGTTTTGGAATTAGTTATGGAGAATTTTTTCGCCTAATCACCAGACAGATATGATCTTTCTTCTTTTTGAGGTAGCTAAAATCTTAATTATTATTTCTTTATATATAAACGATCAAAAATAAATAATTGTAAGAACATGCTGAAATCAAAACAGAAATTTTATTTCATTTAATGAAATAACTCATCCCATCAATAAAAAAAACCCCCCTTAACGTGTTAAGTTTAGGTGTCGTCAGACTTAAAGGAGCATCTTTCTCCCACACCATGCTTAACTTCTTTTAATGGTTGTCACATAGAATGCAAGATTTCTTCGGACTCAACAAGAATCCGATCAGGCCAAAAGATATGACTAATACAGCCAACTAAAGCTTTGCAGTATTTTGGTTAACCACGTTTGAAGGTAAAGAAAAACATTTTCTCTCGCTTTTTTTTTCCTTCTTAAAAAAGCAAATCAATCTGATGATCATAATAAAAAGATTTTTATCTTTTGCAACTAACACCATCAACTCGACAATAATGATTAACCATGTGATAACAATGAGCATAACAGTAATAAACAAGTAAGAATAAGAAAATACATGAATGATTGGAAAAATAGATGGACAGGGCTGTGATATCTTGCTAACTTTTTCTGTTTGAAGTATGGAGTGGGTTACATGTTACTTCCAAATAAAGGACTAACCAATCGTATATGGTGCTTTGTTTATCTTTTTAATATAATCACACCATCAACATCAATAACATTATTCTTCTTTGTAGCATGTATTTGATATTAATATATAAATAATAAATAAATAAATAAACAATTGCAAGGGTGTTACCAACATTGTTAAAAAAGAAACGAAGTTTTCAGATAATATTTAAAATCCAAAATGCAAAAATATTCCTGAATTTATTCATTCAATTCATTCAATTTATTCCACAGAATTTAATTGGTGTGTAAAAACTTTAACTATTGGTTTTTTTTTTTAGTTTTATTTTAGTAATGATATTAGAGTTACCAATGCCATTTCATTGCATTCATGGAGGAAATATTACATATTTCTATGTTTAAATTAATCGGTAACAGGCATGCTTGTATCCAATTCGATTTATTCTATTAGTAGAATTACAGAAGGGTTGTTTTTTTTCAGGCTGGCAGCGTAAAGGGGTTAAAACCTAATTTTGTAATAATTATCTTGACTAAACTTGACCAAACCTAACTTTAACATATGACTAAATAGTTTAGTCAATTTAGCAAGTGCTCATTTGAGTTACGCGATTTTTTTTTCGCAAAATGTGAAATAGGTGGAAATCTATATATGCACTCACAAGTATACATATCATTTTGGTGTCAATTGCTGGATCATTGAATATTTATAATTTTTTTTTACACAAAGAAATTAATTAAATTAAAAAACCTGTCATACATATCTTTGGGTGAAATTATTATTACCAGATTGGGTATCTATGTGTTTGGGTACAAAATTCTGATCGACTAATTTGAATTTCATGATAATAATCATAGTAGTAGAGTTCTACTACTACTACACCACGACAGGCACATGTAAGATAACCCAACAGTCACAGCTGCAATTACAACACCGTGACCGGCAGTGACAGAATCAGGGAGAAAGGAAGGGAAAGAGAGATGCGAGAGGTTTGCAGAAAGCTGTTGCGTGCAGCGGAAGATAAGCTTTTATTGATTTTGGGAAATTCCAATTGTGCCAAGCCAAATAACCATTATGTTGGTGTAACTTGCTGATTAACATTCATATGTTCAATAGTGATTGATTGTTTAATAGAAACATATGAAAATTATTCGACACTTGATTGGAGTGTGGTAAGTCTGTTGAATCTTTGTTTTATTCTTGATAGAATATTTTAACAAATGTTACAAAGAACAATCATTGAAATCCAAAGAGGGTGTATTATCAAATAATAATAAATAAATTTGAAGCACTTCAAGTATTATAAACGCGTCATGTTTTTTTTGATGAATTATAAAAGATGTCAATTATTCAGACAAAACATAAATCAAAAACCAAGGTCCAAAAACGCAAAGATTGTTAATGCGAATTTGCCTATTTTGACACAAAACAAACTTGGACAAGTAATGTGAATGTAATTTATTTAATTTTTAACAGCAAAAATCAAAATAATTCATATTTCTTCTTCAATTAGATATAATATATATATAAAATGCATATTAATGAGTCAGCAATGAACGATATGGAAAATTAAGATTTGGAATCCAAGTTTCAACAATTTTAATTTAGTGATTTTATCATTTATAAATAATAAAACATTTACAAATGTCTAATTATGAATTTTACAAAATTATTTTATCATTAAAGAATATATATTATAAATCACAATTGATGATAAACAGATGATTTATGAAGAATTACAGAGTATTCAAAATAAAAACTTGGGAAAAATAAAATCTTCGGCAGAACTTGCTTAATCGAGAAATCATCAGCCACTGCTTTTATAGCTGCTGGTGATTATGTCACCACCATCACCATTGTTAGTGCTTCATCTTCTTTAAAATTTACAACTGCAAATGTTTTAATAAATCATTTAACACAAATTGATCAACATAACAAAAACAATAAGAACAATGATGATAAATTCTGTTATGAGAATCCTTGGATTTAATTAATTAATATATTCATTAAAATATATTTTTACAATGTTTAAATTAGTAAAATATTCACAAGTATATAATATATATATAATATAATATAAACTTTAAATAATTCCTTAATTTTCATAAAATAAACTATGAACTTTATTACGATTCCATTGTGTGACTCCATTAGGAAACCATAATGCTATTTCTTTTTCTGCATTTTCAACAGAATCAGATCTGTAATCAATCAATAATGGTGAATTATTAAAAACTATATATATATAAATTAAATATATTTAATAAACAAAATCAAAAATCTTACCCATGACACATGTTACGACCAACTACAAATATCATTAATAGAATAAAAATATATCAAAGTAAATAAATAGAATTAAATTTAAATCATTAATTAATTAATCAAAATAATTTTAACCTTCTATACAGTAATCTCCGCGAATGGTGCCAGGTGCAGATTTCAAAGGATCAGTTTCACCCAACATACGACGTCCAGTTTTCACTGCATCTTTACCTTCCCAGACCATACCAACCACAGGTCCAGACAAAATATCTGTAACATTCACAACAAAAATATAATTTATTACACACACATTAAAACATAACATTATTAAAAAGTGATACAAATGGCTAACATTGCAAAAGTCCCGGAAAAAATGGCTTCTCTCTCAAATCTGCGTAATGTTCTTTAATAAGCTCTTCTGTTGGCTTTTTTTCCCAAGAAAGATATATTAATCATAGAAATTTTATACTTGTAATTCAAAAGTTGTCGATTATTAATACATACTTTCAAAAGTTGAAGAGCAATAAGTTTGTATCCTTTGATTTCAAAACGTTTAATAATTTCACCAACTAAACCACGTTCAACACCATCAGGCTAAATAAATTTATTTTTAATCAAGAATATTTGTCTGACTTGATAATTATTTTTACTTTTATTTTTATTTTACCTTAACCATAATATAAGTACGTTCCATTTTTTTAAGTTTTAAAAAAAAAAAATATAAAAATTTTTTTTTTTGCTAGTGTTACAACATTCGTTTATCATGATGATCATCCTTCAAAATCACAAAATTTTATTGGCTTGAACAAAATTTATATATAACTAAAGGTCGAAGCTAAAATAGTGTTCAAAGTCGAATTTATTAATAAAAAATAATTATTAATTTAAAATTATTACAAACAATTAAAATCCTTATCATCATTAAAATGTCAAGTTTTGGATTGTGGGTCAAACAAAGATTTACACTTGGTGCTAAAAAAAATCTGAAGAAAAAGAGACATTATGTATAATTATATTGGTGATAAAATCTGTCTTAAACGTTATTTGAGGATGCTTGCAACAAAACCCAACAAATATTACAGGGATTAAAAACATCACAATTTTACCTTGTTCTAAATGCACATTTACTATTCCTTACAATTTACATTTTACTTAATTCCACACTTGCATTTTTCGGAACCAGTAGCAAGACAAATAAAGCTAAATTAGTTAAAAAATGAAGGCACTAAAAGTCAGTGATAATACTTGTTTAAGAAATTTTTTTGGTTGAGCAGTATCAGCATTGATCCAATCTAAACAAGAAAACAAAGGATCCAATAATTTCTCAGTTTCATGAGTAGTAGTGATAAAATATCAAAATTTTCAACACATATTCTTTAATAAACTAAAAACTAGAATCATCATCATTATTTCTTTTTCAAATTATTTTCTTCTGATAATACTTACCCTTTTGAATCTGCAAGTTCAGCATGGTATCTTTTTCTTTCAAATCGCGAAGCCATTTTTTGTAAAGGGTGGGTGATTATTATATACAGAAAGGTTCTTTTTGTGAAATATACGAAATATACGAAATATACAGACCTAAATGACAAATAAAAATTAACTTTTAGAGTTGGTAAACACTCTGTAGCCCATTACTGATATTGTAAATGGGGTTCGCTGGGCACCTTTTACCAAGTCCCTGAAATTTTGCTAATACAAAAGTTCACTGTGCCCCAATAAAATTTTTGTAGAAGCTTGAAAAGAATAATAACGCGTTGATATTATTTTTGAATTAAATGACAAAAAATACCAAAAAAATTTTTTAGGCACATATTCGAATTAGACATATTAAAAATTTATTCTGACATAAAAATCTCAATTAAACTAACATTACTCAACAACTCCACATCCAACTTGTTGGGAAAAAAACCAATATAAATAAATCTCAAGTGAATCCTTATAATAAAGAATTTACAAAGAATACCAAAAGCCAAAAGGCTCCAGAAAGAATAACTAAAGAAACTACGGAGTTAGATCCTCCCAATCAAACAAATGTGCATGAAAATAAGGAACTAGAAACAATGAATGAAATTGAAAATGATAGCAATCAGGAAATGCAAGAAGAACATAGTAATAATATTAAAAATAATAACAGTCAAAAATCCAATAAAGACAAAACAGAAGAAACTGCTGGAAATCAATGGGTTAAAATTGAAAAGAAAACTCATTACAAAGCTTCTATAGAAATAGACAACTTGAACACAAAAAATATTAATAGAAAATGTCATTTAGTAGAAAATAAATTATCAGAATTAGGTAAAGAATATAACTAGAAAGGTAATCGAAAAAATGGTAGAACAAGAATTGGGAACAATTATTAAAATCAAAACAAGAACATCAGGCCCATGGAGAATAGCTGATGTAGAGTTAAAAGAAGAATTGGATGAGAATACAATTTTAAACCAATGGTCAATAAGGATTCAAAAAGATGATGTTAAAATGCCATAAATAAAGAACAAATCCAAACTAGAGAAAATTTACAATGAAATTAACAAACCTGTCCTTTGGCACCACAATGTATGATTTGGAAGACATATCCAAAGCAACTAATGCCAAAATGGTAATAATTCCAAGACCAAATGTAAGATTTGGAATTTGTGCCTTTTTTGATGTACAAATTAATTTTATTTTGGATTTGGGAATCACGATTTTTAATTGAGTGACATCTATATTTAAAATGGTAACATGGGTGGAAACTTATATTTAAACTATTTCACTTGTTCCTTGAGCATATAGGCTAATCTGACTAGTGTGATCTTATGGTACAACAATGTGATTAAACTTTCAGGGACATGGCCTTGAAATATATCAAAATATGTGAAATTATATGCAATAAAATATTTATTATTAATATTAATAATGAAATAAAATAAAAAACAATATAAGTGAAGAAATAAAAAAAATTTGTGAATCATATCAAATATTGGACTCCAAATAACTTTTTGATTTGCAGCTTCATCGAGCACCATTTCTTTGATATGCCTTCATTTGTTCTTCTATTGATCCCAAGATCACAAAGTTCTTTACATGATATTTTTTATTAAAGACATACTTTAACAATATTGCTACTTCTTGATCTGACCATTTGATTCTTGCTCCTGATACTATATGTAGTGGAGTTCAGGGTTGGAAAATGTACAGTCCATTGATGGTCCATTGGTGGTCCATTGGGACCATTAGTGTAACACTTTAACCATATTTAGTATTTTATTAATGGCAATGGACCAGTCCAAAATCCATCTGTTCTCAATGGACCAGTCAATTTGCCAACCCTGAGTGGAGTTCCATCTTCTATAAAGCTCAGTTCTTCCTCATCAGCTTCATTTGTTTGATAATTTTCATTATTTATTATGAGTACAACTGCTCTATCCTCAATTTGCATTTGACTGGCCACCACAATCACTTCTCTATGATTCTCCTCTTCCTCTTCTACTTCCTCTTCATCATCTACTTCTTTTCCTTCATCCATTTCTTCTACATCATCCACTTCTTCTACATCACCCACTTCTTCTACATCATCCACTTCTACATCATCAATTTTTCTACATCATTTATTTCTATTTCATGTCTCTCTCTTCATTATTCACAACCTCTCCCTCTTCATCATAAACATCTTTTAACAGATTAAAAATTTCATCAGGTTGTAATGGCATTTTTATATTTTCGTCTTGAATAAAATCCTTAATCTTATTGTATAAAGCATGTAGGTCAAATAATTAGAATGACAATTTGTGGCAATAACCAACACCACTTTTCTTTTTAATAATCATTAACTAGAGTGACGTTGAGTAATGATGAGTGGTGATAGCCACAACCATAAACACTTATCCAGCAGGAACAAATTCCCTTTGTCATTTATTATTACTTCTGGTGTCTTTTGGCATTTTTAAAGATGTGTTATGAAAAAAAGAAACACGTGAACAAAATATTATTAATTATTATTGGCACTTGGTGTTGCACAAGGAATTTTTTTGGGTGACAGATGCAAATTGGGGGGTTTTTTTTTGGAAAAACATTTATTTTTCAAGGTGAGGAAATGTTAGTGTTGTTGTTTGGTTCTCCTAAGATGTGTTAATAACAGAGGTACTATTTTTTATTTGAATTGATATAATGTGGTGCCTTTTAGTTTATAAATATTTTGATTGGAATCAAAACGCAGAGCAGATCTTTATGGGTAATTATAAGATCCTTATCAAGATGATAATAAATGAACAATTGGTATTTTGCTTTTCGTAATCAGTAATAATATTAATATTAATATAATTAATTACAAGTCAAAACAGCATGACTGAAACAATTCAAATATGAAACAATTCACATTTAAATATGCAATGTTTGATTATTACAATAAAAACACTAAATTAGCAAAGAACAAAGAAAATTAGTTAAAAAAAATTATTTAAAGGGTAAACACCATATTGCAGCATTGATGCCACTGCTCATTATAGTTATGATTGAGCCCAAAATGTTCATGTATCACATTTAGATCAACAAGTAAGTAAAATCTATTACTTTAGTCCATGTAAAGTCCATTTATTTGGCATTCAAGATGAAGCAGTAAGGGAACAAATTAATTATGTTCTTAATGAAGATGAAATTATAGGAAAAGGACCCAATGG